TAACAAAGCAGATGCCTGGCACAGAGTAAGCAGTTCATATATGTGGCTGTAATTATTACTCTTAATTATCATAAGGACACTCTACAGCAATGTAGATGACCAACTAGGTTCTCACTTTTTTCATCTGATCAACAATCATAGCCAGGACTTTACCATTACTCCAGAACACTCTTGGTCTAAAATCTAAATGTAATATACACTAATTAGAATCTCTTGATTGCCACTCACATCTTTTATATTTACTCTTCAACCTCAGTGAGTCTGTACTTCACTTTATTTCTGTTGTCTCCTAATCTGTTAGCTCCTACCATCTCTACTTCCTGTCAACTTGATCCCACTGTCCAATAATGGACCCTCTCTCACATACACCTTCACTATTATTTTTCTTTTTCCCTCAACTGTATAGAACAAACCACCTCACCCATCTGCTATCTCTGTTCTTACAGATGGATGATCTAAGACTGCTGAGACTGATCTGCTGATCTAAATACAGATGAACACCATTACAGATTTATGATCATTAGCCTCAATTGTGATGTCAGCCCCATGCAGCAGTATTTTCCCCAATCCTTTGACAAATTTGAACAACTTGTGCATCAAAAAGAATAATGATGGTAATGAATTCCAACACAGTGAATTTTAAAAAGTCTTTGTGCCCTTGCAGCAACTCCTAACTTCCAAGGTTTAAAACTCCCCTCTGGTTCCTTCAGGCTACCATACCTTCTCTCATCTTCAAATAACTAATTTACCTCAGGCTTGCAACAGAAGTTCTAAGTCTCAACAGATGCTCTAAATTCTTTGCTACACCTATATGCTTAACTTATTGATCCTCCTTAATTCCTTCCCTCTAGTAACCTAAAAAAGAGTTAATTTTGTTGATTCTGTTTCAATTCCCAGAAGTGCTCAATTCCCAGAATTCATCCCTGCCGCTCAGCCTCACCAAAACCATAAAAACTAAACTGTGAGTCAATCGAGCCATAGCTTTCCTTGGCTGCTTTCTAATGGATACATTAATTATCTCCGCTCCCCATCTCCAGAATGATGACATCCTTACGCGACTGTTGTGAGTGTTGTGAGTAACACTTCCAGGCCGGGAAGTGCCTGACATGAGGTAATGACTCAATAAATGATAGCAGGGCCTCCTTGCCTCCCAGGCGAAAGGGGTTAAATCTCAACACTATGAAGCTATCACCAACCACTGCAGCACTTTGAGTTTGATCTCTGGCCAGGGAGCTAATCGACATGATGAAGCAGACCTCTCCTGTCTCACCCACTGCTCCCCTTAGCAGTGTATTTCAATAGATCTGCCTGTTCTTTTCACCACTATGTCTCTGGCAAATCCTCTTATCATCACCTCTAGTACCTCTGGCCTACATCCCAGTTCTTGTATGCATAAATAAAATAAATCTTAAGAAAATAAATGATAGCAGTTATGATTACTAAGTCAAGTAAATTATTTAAAGTGAAAGGCAGATGACAAGAGTTTAGATACAAAAGGGGAGATAACTAGGGGGAAAAAGGAAAGATACCAGGACAAAGTAAAGGGAAATTAAAAAATACTTTCCTTTGACATAAAATGTTCCAATCCATCTATGACTATATTCAGTTGCTTTGTGACTGACGGTACATACATGTCACACTACTATCATAAGTATGCTAATTTGTGAATCAGCTAACTTGCTAATTGTGAATTACACATGTCTCTTATTTGCTCTTCTCTGGAATCTGGAAATTCTCTTGGATAGCATGATTACCCAAGGGGAAGCTTTGTTCTAGGTTCTAAGTGTTGGTCTACTGAGAAAATTAATCATTCCTCTACTAATCTGGATTAAAGTGTTATTCACTGAACAGAAATTAAAGCAATGTTTAGTCACTGAGAATTCAACAAAAGTATTCAATTGACAATTCCATAACTATTGCGGGGGCTCTTCAAAGTGAGAGGCTGGGAAATCCTATGGGAAAGCACAAAAGTGCTCAAAAATTGAAGGGGACAGGGGTGGGTAGATTAAAAAAAAGAGAGAAATTCACTGGAGGGGATTCCCACAAGCCACATTTGTAACAATTTGAGTATCAAAAAGAATGATGATGATGATAATGTCATATTAACAGTGAGTTTTTAAAAAGTCTTTATAGTCAGACAAAAAAATTTTAAAAAGCATGAGGAAGAAAAGGAAAATGCCTTTTACAGAATAATACCACCTGATAAACTGGTATTAATAAGCCAATAGTAATTATGGTACTAATAAAAGCAGAAGGAATGAAATCGTCAGAAAATCACCACTTTGCAATCTCCAAAATAGAGATGATTTCTATGATGTTAAAAACATTGAGTGAAAAGTTAAGTGGTGAAAGGGTATCTGCATATTCTTTAAGTATTTTTCTACAGATTACTTCATTTTAAATTCCCTTACAATGGAATATCTGGCAGTCAATCTCTTAATCCAGTGATCAAACTCAGCATGAGCAACTGTGATAGCAACCTGATATAATGTTACCATTATAAATCACTAATAAACAAACAGATTAGGCCTCTCTGGTGGCACTAGAAGCTATCTGCAGCCACTGCATTTTGACACACACACACACACACACCCCACGAGGAAGGTGGCTCATGGCGCAGCAGACCTCTCTCTCCTGTCTCACCCTTTATTCCCCTCAGCAGTGCATTTCAGTTAATCCACCTTCTCTGCCCCCCACTTGGTCTCTGGTGAATCCTCTCACCCCTCACACCTCTGGCCTCTACTAAAGTTCTTGTATGCATAAGAAATAAATCTTTTAAAAAATAAACAGCATCACCCACACTGAATATCCAGTAACATTTATACCAATCCAACATAGGAAATCAATTAGAGAGCCCACAGTCTTGATACTCAAATTGTTGTCCAAAATCCAGAATCACATTGCCTACGAGTTTGTTCAAAATACAGAATTTCAGGCCCCAACTGAAACAAAGTTTTCATTTTAACCAGACTTTCACATGATCTGTAGGTAAGAAGTTTGAGTAGTCCAGTGTAAAACAAAATCAGTTAGGCTTTTCAAAAAAATACAACGTCATAAAAACAAAGAAGGCAGAGAGATTATTCTAGATTCGGAGACATAATAACCAAAAGCAGTTAATAAACTATGATTCAACGCTGGATCAGAGGGGAGGGAAAGTTATATAAAATACACTTTGGAGGAGAGAGCTAGGAAAACTGAATGTGTACTTTTTATTAGGTAACACTGAGTTAATGATAGCTTTCTTAAATATGATAAAGGTAAAAAATGGAAAAAACCTTAATTACATAGAACTTTTTTATTCTTAATAAATACATACTAAAAATTTTAACATCACATGTCATAATGTCTATAATTTACTTTATAAAAATACATTGAGAGAAAATCAATATGGTATAATATTTACAATTGGGTTATTCTAATTGAAGAGTAGGTAGATCTCCACTGTGCTGTTTTTAATTTTTCTTAAGGTTGAAATTTTATTAAAGAAAAAGTTTGAAGGTGAGAAGAATACTCAATTAGCCCAAAACAGAAATGGTAAGTTAAACAGTGCAATGCATACAACTTTGCATTTATCTTAACACCTACTTCACTTGAAATAAAAAGGAAATATATCTGTTAAAATCTTAATTTAGTGGGCAGATATTTCTAAGACATTAATGATACAAGTAATTGGCTGTCAAGTATATATGGAACTGTGAATTGCCAGTGTGATTTTTTTTGTTCCATAAAAAGTTAAGTAGAGGGCTCTCTCTGGTGGCGCAATGGGTTAAAGCACCACATTATGAAGCTCTCAAAGCCACTGCAGGAGGAGTTCAATGCCCCTCTAGGGAGCTGACCCACATGGCGTGGCAGACCTCTTCTGACCCACCAGCTGCTACTCTCAGCAGTGTTATTTGTCAATCTGCCTGTTCTGCTCCCCACTCTGTCTCTGGTGAATCCTCTCACTCACCACACCTCTAGCCTGTACCCAGGTTCTATAAGCATAAGTAGAGTGTAATAGCAACGGTTTTAGAATTAGTTAGATCTGGATATTACTAGAGAGGTGTCTTTAGGCAGATTTGATCTCCCAAAGCCTCAATCAACTGATCCATAAAACAGGCAAATAATAACTATCTGGGAGGTTGTAAGGGTTAAATGAGATCATGGGAATTCTTTCCACAATGTAAAAGTATTTCCCCTCTTCAACTTAACCTTAGTAAATAAACATAAAGGACCGGAGATTTGCAGAATAAAGCTATTAATGGTGATTAAGAGAATCAAATTCAATACTAAGAAAACCTGGAAACAATTTTTTCAAGTTACCTTACACTCTCTTGACTAGATAAGCTGTGAGAAACTATAGTGTTTTCATGGAAATTTACTGTAGTTTTCTAGAAGCACTTATAAAAAGCATCTTTTATTTTATGTGCACTTGTGTCCAGATGAACTTTAATAGGACTGACTGATATATGGGAGGAAGTCTAACACACTACTCCCTGAAGTTCTAAAGCAATCTTTCCTAAAAGCCAACCACTTATTTAATGAATCCAGTTTTACTTGACCATAACCACGACCATTCATTGATGTATGGTGTGTGGCTATTTTCGCTACAATAGCAGAATAGAATACTTGCAACAGAGCTGTAAAATATTTACTATGTAGTCCTTCTCAGAAAAAAATTGCCCACCCTTGCTCTAGACAAGCAACCAAAGCTACAATAAAAGCTATTCCAGGGCCCTACCTGGTGGTGCAGTGGGTTAAAGCACAGCACTAAGAAGCTAAAGCCACTTCTGCATGGGCTCCATCCCGCCTGCCCAGGAGGTGACCCACATAGCACCACAGACCTCTCCTGACCCACCTGCTGCTCCCCTTAGCAGTGTACTTCATCAATCTGCCTGTTCTGCCCCCCCATTCTCTCTGGTGAATCCTCTCACCGCCCCTGCACCTCTGGCCTGTACCCCAGTTCTGTATGCATAAATAAATAAATCTTTTTTAAAAAAAAAAAGCTATTCCAGACTCACCTGAGGTGTAGTCTTTTTGTATTGGTCACCTCCATCTATCACATCACTCAAGATTTTTCCCTTGAGAAAGGCATACTCTTCTGGACTCAGGTGAATAGACTCTATAGTTTTTCCACAGCCCAAACATTGACCACTGTAATTACAATTGTTTGTGTTAAATAATGCCCTGGGGAAAAAAGCTTTTTCTAAAATAAATAACCGTAGGACATGAGGACATTGAAAAGTAATTTTAAAAGAATACTATAATCTTTGTGACCAATATATGTACCTGACTTTTTATAAGCCTGACAGTACTGCACATTAGTGAACCAGTAAATTCAAGAGAAGACTGCAGGGCATCCCTGTAATGTTTTAAAAGTCATTCCCTACTGATCAAAAAATGAAATCTTATTTTAAAAAACAGAATGACTGTATTGTAATGTTCAGAAAGAGAGAAGCACTTATTGTTGTAACCTAGTGTTAATAGCTTGCTTTATAAGTGGTATTGTACAATAATATTTGTGAAGGGGGAAACAAAGGCAAAATGAAATACACAGTAGTGATCCACAGTGACTTACAGAGTAATATAAGAAGAGGGGGAAAAACCTTTATTAAATAAAATTGAAATGGAGCCAGAGATAAATAATTATAAAAAAAAAAAGAAGTCATTTCTAAACACATGGGCTCTAAACCTCTAAAGGGGGATCATTTCTAAGATTTTATAGCCCAGTTACAAATTCTCTACAAAAAAAACTACAAATAGTTTTTTTTTTTTTCTCTTGGGTACACTAACTCTTAAAAATCCTATCTCAAAGGTGTTGTAATTTTTTTTAAGTGGTGGCCTACTACGGCTGAATCAAACAAGTTAAAATTAAAATACCAGCTTTACCTTTTCTGGATTGTGGTAAATTGTCCTTTCCATTTTTTTCCAGGAATACTACAAAAAAGATTGCAAAGATAAATCATTAGTTCAGATTCTTACTGAGCCTAAAGATATTCTCTAAGCAAGAAGTCTGAAGAGTTCAGGATACTACCCTACATAGAAGAGTGATTGCTATCTTGTTACAGGGTTGAGAAGATACTGGTCTCCTACTTTGGATTTTCTTTTTCCTTTAAGTTTTCCTCAGATCATTAACTCTCATCAAGTCCATATCTACCTTCAGACGACCTATACAGAAAGCAGCTGCCAGTAGTTTTTACCTCTGAATCAAACTCAGTCCGAACACTCTCCATAAAGTTGCCAGAGATTGCCCCTGTCCAGAGTAATTTCTTTCTCCTCTTATATTATCATCTTATGTACCAATTATTTAACTGTCAAGTATTATATTTCCAATTATTTTGTTAATGCCAATTTAACAGAGCTTATATTACAAACACAGTATGCAACCTAGTTGGATGCATTCAAAACTACTTGATTCATTTGCACAATGGACTTATTCTCTTCTTGCTCTTATATGTATTTATATTGTTATTGGCTTTTTCTTTTTCTCCTTCCCCAGATCTGAGATCTTTCACTCAAATCTACAATTGTCTTCAGACAGCTCTGTTCCCTGTTTTCCAGTCTTAATTGCTCTAAATTTTCATTTCTCCACTCCCAAGATCCAAAATCCTTGGCATTAAAAAATTTTCACAAATTGGTTCCTTCATTGATATTCAATTAGTTTTTGTTTAAGATTTATTTATTATGCATACAAGAACCGGGGTACAGGCCAGAGATGCAGGGGGACTAGGGGTAAGAGAATTCACCGGAGAGAGAGTGGGAAGCAGAACAGGCACACTGACTGAAGTACACTACTGAGGGGAGCAGAAGACAAGACAGGAGAGATATGCTGCACCATGTGGGCTACCTCCCTGGCCAGGGATTGAACTCCTGTTGCAGTGACTGCGGCTAGCTTTACAGTGCTGGGCTTTAACCCCTTGTACCACCACGGAGGCCCCAATATTCAGTAAGTTTTTAAAATAAGATAATTAAGCATGATTGTTACTTCAAACCTCTACAAACTAAATATACATATGAGGGAAAAACAGAGAAGAAAGAATTTTTAGGAAAAACATTTATGTAAATTAGTTATAAACAAGTAAGAAAATATAAGAATGAAGCAATAAACCAGCATATAACGAGTAACATGAAAAAAAGCAAAGGGGGAAAAAGGAGAGACCTTTGGACAAAAAGCAGCCAAATAATGGAGGATTAAATGACCTGGGAGAACAAAGATTTTCCATTTTAACACTTGGTTTGATCAGGATAACTGTCTGCTCTAACCTAGCAAATTAACGAAATGCAAAAACTAAACAGAACATGTATATACACATTATACCAATCACTAGGTTGTAGATCATCTGAAAATACATTATGACTCCAAAACAGTTCCAGTTTTCTTGCTTTGAATTCGTCACAAGTCCTATTCATTGGATAGCATATAGCAATATATCTCAGAAAATAAATGATCCTTATAAAAGGGGAAAAAAAGTACGTAAAAGCACCCATTGGGTCTATATTTCCTTTTTATGTGAGAAATGGAGATTAGTTCACCTTGTTTATATTACAAATCTTAAAAAGGAAATTTTGTCTTAAAAGGAAAAACGTATAATCTGAATAAAGCAATTCTCAGCAATTGACAAAGGGAGGCTATTTTTAGTTAAATATTAAAAACATAAATTTAAAGAAAAAAATCAAAATTACCTCTCAAACCATGTTTTTATACTATGTGCAAATGACTCCCCAGGATATAGCTGATTATTTCTTAGATAGAAAAGAATGTTGAGTAGGTTTTTTGAATACTGATCATCTTTTATATCTTTTCCAAAATCAAAGAAGGCTTTTAAGGTTTCCAGCATAGGATTAAGACCATGACCTAACAATTCCTGATACAAATTCCAAGCTAAATTTATATCTTTATGAAGGAGGGCTCCCTGAATACAGTCATTATAGTTGGTTTTCGAAGGGATCATAACTTTTTTCATGTCCTCTAACAGCAGCAAGGCCTCTCTCCATCTGTCTGAATGCATTAGTCCCCGGATGAGAAGAGTATTCCCTCCAGACTCTACACACTTGTATCTTGTTTTCATGATTTCATAGACATCAATAACTTCCGAAGTCTGTTTATGAAAGACACAGAGGTACAAATACTTGACCAGTATGTCATATCCAACAATACCATCTTTTTTTGAAGCTACCCAGGCCAGCAGAGATTTGGCGACGTCTAAAGAACTGTGACAGCGAATCATTTGTGAAATGATCCAATTTTCAAAATTAGCTTTTCCTTTGAAATCTTCCTTAAGTTTTTCCCATTCCTCAGAATTCAAAGGTTTTGTGGGGAGCTGAATAGTGTCTCTCATAAGTGGCAAGGCATTATCTTTATTCTGAGGATTCATCTGTGATCTCTTTTTAGCTGCTCCAGCTGCAAAAAGATGAGGCAAATCAGAAGAAACTTGCATGTCATTGCTCTCATCTTCTTTCCTGAGATATTTGGTCTTGGCCATCAGCAGATTCATTGCTTTGGTATTTTGTGGAGAGGGTGCTTTAAGAGAAAACCACTTGTGTTGGTTCCTGAAGCCATAATAGCTTTTGAGAAAGAGAGAAGAGTAGGATTGTCTTGTACCTATCCTAAGGTATGCGCTACTCTTCCAAAGCTCAGTAAAACTTCGAATACCAATGTAACAGGAAGTCATTATGAAGTGGGATCAGCACCAGTGAGAGAGATGTTCAAGAAGTCCCTACTTTTACAGCATAATAATTGACTGAGGTGGGGCAGAGAATCCAAGGGCAACTTTTTAAAATGTGATTTTTTCAATTTTTCACAGATGACTCAAGTCTGCTTTTGGAGCTACTTAATATCAACTAATTTAGGTGAGGTACATTAGACAAAGATAGGAAGAGCCAATGTTGGTCGCAATCTTAGAACCAGGGGACAGCTCAGGAACCTTCTAGAGCCTGTTATAATCCCGTCCGCGAGTCTGAGGAAAAAGCACAAAGAGGATCGTTTAGATCGATTCACGTGGATCACGAGTGTCTCGAAAAGGGGCAGGACCCCATGGAACCTTGCTGAAAAGGCATAAAATCGAAAACGGTGAGCGGGAGCTCCCAACCCCAGACCCACCAAGATCAAGGACAGCGGCGACAGGCAAAGTTTTGAGGCCCTTTCCCCACGTAACAGTTACTCCCTCCCAGTCAAACTCGTAAGGTGAAGGAAATGGGGAGGGGGGTAGCAGGAGGACGGTGTTACCCGAACCAGCTTAGGTTAGTAAGGGAACTCCAGAAAGGGCACCACCTACTTCTTACAAATCCAAAACAAACGAGCTTCACTACATTCAGTAACAGCCCGCAGGACTCAGGCTCAACGCGACCATAAACGCGCCGGAACTACGGAATCCACAATGCACCGCGACGGTCCAGGTCCCTACGGAGGCGTGGCTGGACCTGATGCACGAGTTCTAGTGCACTTGGCCACGGGAAAAGGCGGCTGTGAAGCTTTTATTAGCACAAAGAGGCACTTCCTATTCACGGGGGCTTTGGGCCCTCAGATACCCACAGGAACCATGAAAATAAATTTTAAGAAAGCAAGCTCCTCCCACAAGCCGGAAACGCCAGTGACTCCCTAGTCACGTGACGTCCACGCGCCAAAGGCCAAGATGAAGAAATAAAAGCGCGGGCTTCTTTAGACTGATCTTTAAAATCGGCCTTGGGGTAGCTGGGACGTACCCTGACGGAGGATCATTTTCCATCTCCTTCGCTTCTGCTTTCCGCACGGTTAACGAGATCGCAGCATTCTCTGCAGTGGCTACCGGGATCGCATTGCTCCTTAATCAACTTCCGCCCATGTTCAAGATGGCAGTTGAGCAGCCGTGCTAACCTTTACGGGGCTGGGCCGCATTTGACGTTTGTGCTCGTAGGGGGTGGAACGGCTACTAAGCAGCGAATGCTGGAGCTGCAGTCTGAGAGTCAACCATGGACTGGAAAGAAATTCTTCGCCGGCGGTTAGCGACGCCCAACACCGGTCCAAACAGTGAGTTTGGGAGGGGCCGCCCGCAGATAGCCCGGCCCCGAACGCCCAGAGGTCGGGGGAGAATGTGGTGGAGCAGCTCTGGGAGCCGCTGTGCCGGCTTCTGTGAAGCCTCTCCTGACAAAGGAGGCATGGTGAAATGTGGGTTAGGGAGCCAGAGAGGTTTGACCCACGCTCTCCTGGGAAGGGGTTTGTGTCAGTGAATGTCTAACTCATTTCTCTTGGGTCCTGACCTAGATTTGTGAGAACTCTGGACCCCACAACTCTTAGACTCGACAGTTCTTCTGATTCATTGATCTTACCGCCTTTTTACTGTAACACTTGTTGTCACTTAGCTCATCCGTTTTAGATTTCATGATCAATTTTTCCGTTTCCCTTAACCCCTTTCACACTTGCTTGTTAACCAACCTTATTAAATCTTTCCTATTTTATACCTGCACTCAACAACTGAGAGTAGCTGGAAAAAGATGGATTGTTGATGAGTTGTCTCACTTTTAATTCACTTCCACGAACCTAAAGTAGGTGTTTTAGTCATTTGCCTACATTTCTTCTGTTTTCCTAGACATCCACTACCTTCCGTCAAAGGCGATTCTCATCTTCCCAACCTTCACTCCTCCAATATGTGCTACCTACTCCTTACCTTCAACTCATGTTTGTACATATATTTGAGAAAATAGAAGCAGTCAGAAAAGAATCCTGTGTGTTCCCATTACCATTTCTAGAAGCCTCTCCCCCCATATAGGTGCCCATAACTATGACTTCACCATGATGAACTGCTTGTGCCCTTATTTGAGACAGTCCTTCCAACCCAAAGCAAGATCCTGTCGACTTTCTTTTGTTCCCTGACTTCACTCTGGCCTTATGCTCTCTCTCATGCATCTTCAAATGTTCCTTTTCTTCTGGATCATATCCATAAACTGACAAACATAATTGTAATATCTCTCATCTTTAAAATAATCACTGATACCACATCCCCCTCCAGCTTTTGCAGCATTTCTCTGCACCTCTTATAGGAGGTACTTGTGTTTCTTCTCACCTTAACTCTTAAACCCACTCCCAGTACATACCAGTTATGTACTGTTCTGGGTTATAGCAGTAAACTAAACTGACAAAAGTCCTTGGCCTTAAAAGAATTTTTGTTTTGGTGTTGGGAGAGATGGTAAACAAAATAATAAGTAAACCCTTTATGTTGTACAGTGCCCATTTAAGGCTGTTTCCTTCATTGATGTGTTAGATCCCATTTTTGCCAGTACTTTTGCAAGCTTCCCCTTTCTTCTGACTCATCATTTTTTCTTTCTTAATCATTCCCATCAGCCTGTGAACATGGTGGTATTTCTCCCATCTTAAAGAAACATTAACTTCAGCCTTTAGCTATGCCTCATTTTTCTGCTCCCCTTGTTAAAAGTAATTGTTGGTTAAAAATGTACTGATCTCTAATTCCTGCTTGTCAAGATCACCAGTGACCTCCCTAGTATTCTAGTAATAAACTTTAAATCCTCTTTTTATTTGACCTGGCAGTAGTCCCTGCCAGGGACATAGCAGTTCAGTTTCCTCCTGGACACATTTCTTCTCTTGGTTTCTGGTGGACACACTGTCTTAGCTTTCCTCCTGCTTCACCAGTCATCCCTTCTTTGCTGATGATGGCATCCCTCAGCAACTTCACACAGGAGCACCAAGACTAAATCCTTGCACAGTTTTTATTCTCAACCTAATCACTTTCATGGTGAAATTATCCAGTCTTACGACATTAAATTCTTCATATTTCCTACCACCCGAAAATTTACATTTCTAGTTTATATCTCTTTCTTGAATGACATATTCACATATCTAATCACTTAATTGACAGTGCCACTTGAATCTAAGTTATTTTAACTGTCTAACATTGAGCTCCAATCTCCCCCTGTAACTTGCTTATTTGTAGTTTTCACCACTTTTAGTTATTGGCAATGCCATCTGCTCAGGTCAAAACCTTGGGAGACATTTGCTTTCTTTCTTTGGTACCCACATCCAGTTTGTCAGCAAATCTTGGAACTAAAAAGAGAATACCTCATCTATTCCTAACCACCTTCTTTGCGCCACTCTGATCCCATGCACTACCATCTGTCACTTGATTACTGTGTCAATTCTAATTTTTTAAAGATTTATTTATTTATGCATACAAGAACAGAGATACAGGCCACATGTGCTGGAGGTGAGAGGATTCACCAGAGACAGAGTGGGGAGCAAACAGGCAGATGACTGAAATACACTGCTGAGGGGAGCAATGGATGGGTCAGGAGAGTTCTGCTGTGCCATGTGGCTCAACTACTGACCAGGAATTAAACTCGTGCTGCAGTGGCTGTGGATAGCTTCAACTCAGTGGGCCACCAGGGAGAGCCCCAATTACTCTGTCAATTCTTAATTGCTTCTGGTGACTCTCCCTCACCAGACTAAACACCAGGGTATTTCCAGTGACCCAGCGACCCAAACCCCTATTATTTGTCTCCCGTATGTCCTGCTTTACCTCTGGCCTCGCTTTGTTACAGCCATACTGCCACCTCTCTAATCCCCAGACACACCAGGCACACTTCATTTTAGGACCTTGGCTCTGGCTGGACTTTACCTGGAAGGCACGTCCCCTTGGATAATCCACCTAACTTAGATCCTCACTTTCAGTTAATTTGTATAATTTCATCTCAGACTTTCCCTGACTCTTGGAAAACTACTTGCATCTATGGACACATCCACTCACACATATTCTTGGGTATCCATAGAATAAATGAATGAGGACCCCCAACCTATTGGTGCAGCGAGTTAAAGTGCAGCACTGTGGGAGCTAGCCACAGCCACTTCAGCTCAAGTTCAATCCCTGGCCAGGGAAATGACCCACAAGCACAGCAGACCTCTCCTGTCTAGCCCACTGTTCCCCTCAGCTGTGTACTTTGTTAATCTGCCTGTTCTGCTCCCCACTCATCTCTGGTGAATCCTCTTAACTGCCCCTGCACCTCCGGTACCCCAGTTCTGTATGCATAAATAAATAAATAAATCTTTAAAAAAAAAACAAACCGGATAGTTGAAGTATAATAAAATAATGAAAATGAACTCTGGGGATTTGGGGCTGGGTGACTGGACAAGTAGCGGTACCACTAGCCGAGAAGGAAATATGAAATTAGAAGGAGTAGTAAGGTGTGGAGTAGGAGAAATGATTTCAGTTATGTTATAGTATGAAGATAAATGTATTTTGTGTTGAATGTGTGTTCTGAGCTCAAAGCAGTGTCTGGATTAGTACGACATAGTTTAGAGACTTAGAATTTAAACTACAAAGTAGAAAAGAGGGAGGAATAAAGATCAACAAAAAGGAAGAAATGATTAAAATAGGAGAATCAACACATCAGATTTAATAGAGAAATTAAGGATAGGTGTGTGCATTAAACTACACAGTTCGGTCATTGATTGTTCTGGCAAGAACCACTGCAAAATAGTAAGAGCAGAAGCAGGATTACATAAAAGGGAATGAGAGATAAGAAAGTAGAGATAGCCAACATAGGCTTTTCACTTGAAAATGTAAATGAGGAAGGAAAGAATGTGACAGTAAGTAGGGAGAATGGAGTTGTTAGCATGGATGTGATGAATGACACCTTGGTATATTTGAGAGTTAAAACAAAGGGAATAGAAATGAAGTTAGATACTGAAGAGAGGGCCTTCATGGTGGCTTAGGGTTAAGTCTCAGCACTTCCCTTCTACCTATGGCCAACCCAGAGGGTGCAGCAGACCTCTCCTGTCTCCCTAGCTTCTTTCCTCAGCAGTGTACTTCAGTAGATCTGCCTGTTCTTCACCCCTGCCCTCACTCTGTCTCTGGTGAATTTTCTCACCACCACCCCCTTTTCAGGCCTACACCACAGTGCACATAAATAAATAAAATTAATTTAAAAAAAGCTACTGAAGAGAGAAAGAGGGTGAATAAAAGAATAAATGATGAAACAACATGCAAGAGATTAAATGTCCAGTAGGAATGTGAGGGGATGGCAGGAAGAAGGAAAACAGTGGATTTTCTTCCACTGTTCTTTCACTGTCCTCAGATATTTGCATGTATCCATACCCAGTACATTCAGTTTTTGGTTAACTGTGAGAGAATGCTGAGGGTGAACACAGAAGGGACTTAATGTAGTGAAGCTTTGGCGAATTAGTCACTAAAAAGTATATAAGCAAGAGAAGCTCAAGGACATAAAATCTGTGCTGGTGTTTTGGACAGCCTGGCTTATTAGTTAGTAACCGTAAATTAAATTTGTGAAGCCAAATTTGCAAAATTCTGCAGTGGCTTCCAACAGAATTGAGCCACAGTAAACAATTAGATTATAAGATGGATCCAAAATTTAAAATGAATAAGGCAGATATAATAGAAATGTAGAGTAACACTAGAGGCATGTTGGGAGGATGTGAGCAGGAAGAGGAAAGTGACCTTTTAAATAGATCATAGAATTTAAGATCTCAGTGAGGCTGAAGTCCAGTTATTAATGGCAATGAGGCTTTGAATAATAATTATCTGAACTATTATTAGACTTCTAAAATTTCAGAAGAAAAGCAGGTAAGACCTGTGGTCTTGTCATGCAACTGAGTGAGGGAGTCTCGCTCACATACAAAAATACTGGTTCTTGCTTGATAGCAAGCCATGGCAGTGAAGAACACTATGCACCAGTCATCATGACCCACAACTAAGGGATAGCTACATATCAGGGTGAAGTGTGATAGCATCCTAAGATGTGTCATGTGGAAGAGTTTTGCTTAGGTAGAGTGACAGTGATTCTGAGCCTGTAACTCCATGAGATCCAGGGCTGTACTTGGGTCCCACCTCCTCCGCCCCCTCCCTGCCTCTAGTCTCAGCGTCCACTGTAGCACTTTGTACATAGTAGGTAACTGAATCAATTAGGAACACATCAGAGGTCTGTAAGAAAGGAGAACAGTATAGTGATAAAAAGTGGAAGGGGCAGCTGGAAAGAGGTCAGAGATGTAGGGAAAGCTGTTTGAGTAGAAGATAGTGATTTGATATTTCAAGAAAGCTAGTACTAATAAGGAATTATAGATACTGGCACTGTAACTTTTAATTATATTATCTAGATGGCTGTAGTTAAAATATTATTTGATATTAAGTTTCCCTGTCTTAATCTGTTTTATTATCAGAAAAAAAAAGTGAACAAGAATTAAAAGATGAAGAAATGGATTTATTTACCAAATATTATTCAGAGTGGAAAGGAGGAGGAAAAAACACAAATGAATTCTATAAAACCATTCCTCGATTTTATTATAGGGTAAGTGGTAATTAAGTAAATGTCTTGCCAAGTTCACAAATGAAACATTTTAAATTGCTCAGAATCTTATATTTTATAAATAGAGGATTCCAAAATGTTATGTATTTATTATTTCTTTCTAGTTGATAAAAAAATTTTAGTCCTGATAAAATCTGAGGCTTTTATATAAATTGTTATAAGAACATAAAGTTGTTTCTTGACCCTCTCTTTGAGGTACAAGCCTTTTCTTTCTTCCTAAATTTTATTATGGATATTAGTAGTAGGTATTCCATTGGATTGTGTTCTCATTTTTTTTTTTTTTTAAAGATTTATTTGTACATACAGAACTGGGGTACAGGCCAGAGGCTCAGGGGCGGTGAGAGGCTTCACCAGAGACAGAGTAGGGAGCAGAACAGGCAGATGGACGAAGTACACTGCTGAGGGAAGCAGCGGGCGGGTCAGGAGAGGTCTGCCACGCCATGTGGTCACCTCCGGGGCAGGCGGGGATCGAACTCATGCGGAAGTGGCTTTAGCTTCTCAGTGCTGTGCTTTAACCCGCTGCGCCACCAGGGAGGGCCGTGTTCTCATTTTTTGTAAAATTTATGTTTACTGACTCAACATTTTTAACTTTGTCTTTATTAATAAAAAGTTACAAGGTATAAACCATTGTTGCCCAGGTTAAATTGAAGAACATTTTGAGAATGGAAGATTTAGAGTTATATTTATGTGTTTCCTTGTGCCCAAAATAAAGAAGTAGGTTATAGATAAGAACATTTAAGTCTTTTTTTTTTTAAGATTTATTTATTTGTGCATACAGAGCTTGGATACAGGCCAGAGGTGCAGGGGCGGTGAGGGGATTCACCAGAGACAGAGTTGGGAGTAGAACAGGCAGTTGGACCAAGTAAGTACACTGCTGAGGGGAGCAGCAGGTGGGGATCATTGAACTCTTGTGGAAGTGGCTTTAGCTTGTCAGTGCTGTGCTTTAACCCACTGTGCCACCAGAGAGGGCCCCAAAACATTTAAGTCTTTAAAAAAGCTATTTATAGATGAAATTGATGGCTACTGGAAAAAATAGGACCTACATAGTATGTAAAGTGTAATTACATAGAAAGGTTAACTTTGGAATTTTAGCTCAATATCTGTTAAACTTGTTAACTTCTAAACTCAATTGTACCACTATTTGTGAAGAAAATAAACATGTTTTACTTGCATTTTTCTTTTGGTAACATTGGTTTACAACACCTCATATGACTCAGAGGTACATGTTCATACCTGTGCACATGTGTGTTTGCACCACCAACGCTCCGTGTTCTCTACCATAATCCATTGGATCCCTTGGCCCCTTTGTTCTCCACCCTCTCCCTCTGGTTACCTGAATTCAATAGTCAGTTTTTTAGGGTTTGTTTGTGTTTGTTTATTTTGTCACCCTTTGTTTTCTCTGTATTCTACATATGAATGAAACCATCAGGTCATCAAGGAGTCAGGAGTTGGCTGTAATGCAGGCCAGAGCAGGGCCAGGAAGAGTCTGCCAATCTGGGGTCTGCTGTCTTTGTCTTTCTGACTTATTTCACTTAGCGTAATCACCTCCAATACCATCCATGTTGTTAACAAAAGGCAAAAGTCCATCTTCTCCCTATGCCCCTCCAAATTATATTTATTTAGGTAAGGTAAGTTATCTGTTCTGTGGGTTTATAGGGTTCAAACGTCTGCTACTGTATACTTGTACATCCTGCCCACCACCAGTGCCCTTTCCCAGCCCTGCTTCCACCCCATCATCTTCTACCTCCTTTGCCTCAGTTTGCAGTCAATTGTTAATAGGTCATTATTGGTATAGTTTTGACTGACCCTTTGTTATGTTTCTGTATATTCAGATAGAACAGAAGCCATCCAGTTTTTGTATTTCTTCTAACTTATTTCACTTAGCATTTATCCACTTCAGTTCCATCTATGTTAGTGTAAATAGCAGAAGTTCTCTTTTTTTTTAAGTTCATCTTTTTTTAGACTTGACTAGTATTCCTTAGTATTCCTTGGTGTTTGTAGATATTTATATATATGTATACATATATTTGTATGTGTGTATACTTCATGTATACATATGCATTTATGTGTGTGTGTATATATATGAAGTACACACACACACATATAACCTATAAGTCCCAAGAACAGATACCTGTAACACCTCAGAACACTATATTACCACATTTTTTGGATCTATTCAGTCCCTTGGGTACTTAGGCTGTTTCTGTAACTTGGGTACTATAAGTAGGGCTGCAGTGAACATAGGAGTGCATATAGCCCTTCAAATTAGTGTTATTACACTCTTAGGTATAGCTGCCTAGGAATGGAATTGCTGGGTCATATGGCAGATCCATTTTAATATTTTGAGGGACCTCCATACTGTTTTCTGTAGATTCTAGGCCAGTTTACATTCCCACCAAAAGAACAGAAAAGAAAAGTTTCCCTTTTCTCCAATATCCCCGCCAATATATGTGTCTAGCCTTTTTGGTAGGGGCTTTCTCATAGTGGTCTCATTGTGGTTTTGATTTGCATTGCCCTGATGACAAGTGATGATAAGCACTTTTTCATGTGCCTCTTGACCATCTGTCATCTTTGGAGAAGATAACATTTTTTCCCCCATTGGGTTGTTTTTGTTAACTTATGTGCATCCTTTATAGATCGTGGACATTAGCCCCTTGTCAGATGTATGATGTGAAAATATTTTTCCCATTCATGAGGGTATCTTTTCATCTTTTTTTTCTTTAAGATTTATTTATTTATTCATATAGAGCTGGGGTACAGGCCAGAGATACGGAGGGTAAGAGGATTCACCAGAGACAGAATGGGGAGCAGAACAGGCAGATCGACGAAGTACACTGCTGAGGGGAGCAGCGGGCGCATCAGGAGAGGTCTGCCATGCCATGTGGTCACCTCCGGGGCAGGTGGGAATCGAACTCATGTGGAAGTGGCTTTAGCTTCTCAGTGCTGTGCTTTAACCCACTGCGCCACCAGGGAGAGCCTCTTTTCATCTTAATTATAATTTCTTTTGCTGTGAAGAAGCTTTTCATTTTGATTTAGTCCCATTTGTTAATTCTTATTTTAGTCTTCCTTGCCACTGGAGTCAAATTCCAAAAGGCATCTATATTTTCTGTGTTTTTTTCTATGTATTTTATGATTTCAAATCATGTTTCCAAGTCTTTAATCATTTTTGGGTTGTTTTTTGTGTGTGTGGTTTAAGACAGTGGTCCAGTTGCATTCTTTTACATGTGTCTGTCCAGTCTTCCCAACACTATTTGTTGAAGAGACCTTCTTTTCCCCAGTGTATGATCTTGGTTCCTTTGTCATAGATTAACTCCATTTACATGAGGCTTTATTTCTGGACCCTCCGTTCTGTTGCATTGGTCTGTATGTGTGTTTTCCTCCCAATCCTATACTATTTTGATTATTACAGCATTTTAATATAGTTTGAATTCTGAGAATTGGTTTTGTTAAGGGAGTGAGGTATTATTATAAGTGCATTAGCCAGATAATTCTAATTTCTTCAAATACAAACCTTTCATGTGAACCATTTATATTGGGTAACTTTCTGTAATTTTTCCAACCATTTAAAAATTATATGACTAATCAATATTTGTCATGGAAAAGAGAAAATAGCTCAGTAAGCAGATACTTTCTTATATTAACATCGCCCAGAGATGTAAATAAACATTTTTTACATGAGCCCTTCTACATATTCGATGTGTTTGTATATGGGATCAAAAATGGGGTCACATCATATATTTTTTTTTCCTGACTTTTACACATCATCCTTCTTAAACAGGCAGCTAGACAATTAAAAAAGAATGTTCAGGTATAATGAATCTATAACATATTGGTTTCAGTTATACAACATAGTGATTCAATATTGGTATATGTTATGAAATGATCACAAGTCTAGTTAATATGTGTCACTGAACATAGTTACAAATTTTTTATGAGAACATTTAAAATCCACTTGCAACAACTTTAAAATATATGATAGAATATTACTAACTATAGCCCCCATGTTGTACATTATATCCACATGCCTTAGTGATTTTATAACTAGAAGTTTGTGCCTTCTGGCCCCCTTAACCCACTTCATTCCCCAGCCCCCTTTCTCTGGCAACTACCAGTCTATTCTCTTTACCTGTATGCTTCAGGGTTTTTAATCTTTAGATTCCACCTGTAAGTGAGATTCTATGGTGTTTGCCTTTGGAAAATTCTTTGTAGTTTGGGGGAACAGGAAGGTAATTGACAGTTTTTGAGTCCCTACATATTTCAGAGCACTTTCATTTCCATTATCTCATTTAACCGAGATTATGACATAGTTTAGAAATCCAGGATCAGTCCTTGGATGCTGAGATGACCCCATTCCTGAAACCAGGACTCATCTTACTTGTAATTCTAGAACTAAACTTAACTCTTATTTTTAGCTGCCAGCTGAAGATGAAGTCTTGCTACAGAAATTAAGAGAGGAATCAAGAGCTGTCTTTCTGCAAAGGAAAAGCAGAGAACTGTTAGATAATGAAGAGCTACAGGTAAGAATGGAGTCAACGGTTGCTTTGATGTTATCTGTCTCTTATTTGTAATACTTAAGTCATATATACAGGATGCATTATTAGAACCTGTACTGCAAGTTATGTGAGAGCACAGCCTCTATAACAATAGTGCCCACCAGAATTAGCTGTAGAATTTGGTTGCAACCCACCTACCAAGGATAGTTTCTTTTTGTTTTTTAAAGTCCATAGATGATTCTAACATGAGGCCAAAGAATGCTTCCATAAGAACCATTATAGAACTACAGAGATTCAAATCCCAATCCTGTTCTGTGATCATGAGCAATGGACTTAACATTATTTGTGATTCAGTTATTGTCTGTTAAGTAGGAACAGTCATATCAATATCACATAGTTAAATGGATTTAAGAGATATTACCTGTGAAAACTTTAAAACTTAGTAGGTACTCATCAACACTAGCTATTTTTATTATGTTGCTAGTAATAAAATGCAGTTAGGAGATGAGATTCATTGTAATAATATTATTATACTATTATTTTAACGGAAAGAATACATTTAACTTCATTTCAAAATTTGTTCTGTTACTTATAATACCTTCATTTCTGCAACTCTCCTAAGAACTTATGGTTTTTGCTGGACAAACATCAGACACCACCTATGATTGGAGAGGAAGCAATGATTAATTATGAAAATTTTTTGAAAGTCGGTGAAAAAGCTGGACCAAAGTGCAAGTAAGAATAATGAATGAATGAATATGTTATGTCAGCATTTTAAATGTCCTACATAAAATAGAACAAAAATTTTAGGTCGTAGTGTTAAATCAATAATTTAATAAAATGACTTATAGTTGAGAAATACATTGATGATGTTATTAAAATAGAAAATAGTTTATTTAAAAGTTTAGACCTTTATTCGTAAGATAATAGAATACAAAGCTATGTGGCTTAATATTTTAAGTTTTGAACTTTTACTGTCACTTTGACTTTTTATTTAATTTTAACTTATGCAGTTATTTGCTAATTCATGTAGATACAATTTTTATGATATATTACCAGATCACTTTTATCTTTATTTCCTTTTCTTAGGCAATTTTTCACAGCAAAAGTGTTTGCCAAACTTCTTCATACAGATTCTTATGGAAGAATTTCCATCATGCAGTTCTTTAATTATGTCATGAGAAAAGGTGATTTCATTTTCAATGTGCTTGAACTACTATCTGAAAACCAAGTAGGTTTTTGGTCCAGGTTTTTATAGTATACCTTCCATGTGAAACTACTGTCTTTTTAGTAAATTTGAATAGTAGAATTTGTTACCTTCTAAGATTTATTATCCTGTTTGGGTTCTCTTGTGTAACTTCATAAACCTAAGATTTTTTTTACCATAAATTTGGCTTTATATTACAAAAAAATTGAGTAGCAAAAACAAGATGAAACCTCATGTATCCTAAGACACTGGCTTACTAGCTATCAAAAATTGAACCCAAATTCATTTAAATGTGGTATGTAGAGAAACCAAACAAGGGTCAGAGGTAAGTTGAATGCTGACCATAGCTCTGAGGCATCCAGGAAGGAGAATAGAGGTGAATACAAGGTATAGGGGTAGAGCACATGGGACTATGGTGATGGACTATGGGTGCTTTGATGATGGGAGAACTATAGTGATCACACTTGAGGATGGTAATCCTGTACTATCAAAAATTAATAAGGATGTAAGGAAAAGGTACTTTACTTTAAAAAATGAGAAAAAGGCTAAGCCATTTTAATAAGTATGGTGATTTGAAATAATTTTATTTCACTGGTAATATTATTTCACCAATATATATTTCACCAATATATATTACAGGTATATTTTATATATAATATAAAATATATTATATATATATTTTATATATTTATATAATAAATATATTACAGGTTCATTTGCCTGAGAAGATAGTTTCAAAGTCACAACTGAAGCACCAGATTCAAGGAGTTTGTATTAAGCAAGTTGAAGTTATAATTCCTATAAGTTCCATAATGATCTTTGAAGTCCTCTGTGTTCTGTCTTTAACTGATATTTGGTTATTGTAATTAATCTCAGTAGAATAAAAGCTGCTTAAATAAAGGCATAATATTACACTCATTGTCCTTGGAAGAATACCAAGTATAATGAGTAAAGAACAGTATTCTCTAGGGCATCAATTTTATTGTTGGCTCCTGGCATACTAGAAGATGTTGATCAACCACTAATTTTATGTTATGTTTGGGTTTCTTTCTTGAACACAATTAATGAATAAATGTGAAAAGAAGTATATGTATAGAATTTTTGGATTGTTTACCCCTTTAATCTCGTTCTTCATTTCCTTTTGTCCATGTAATAATAAGGGAAAGATCTTAATTACATTTCATTTTTTCATTTATTGTCAGTTTGGCTTCATCAAACAAGAATAGGACTCAGTTTATATGATGTTGCTGGACAAGGGTATCTTCGGGAATCCGTAAGTATTAACCTGTTTCATAGTTATTATAGAAACACAAATGCGTACTCTAGTCATCACCATTGGTGGAATTATAGGTGATTTTTATTTTGTTTGTTTCTATAAATAGCATGTATTACTATAAATAAAACAAAAACTTTTAAAATATGTATTAATCACAAAAATTTCTTGTTTTTTTTTCCTAAACTTAAAATAAAAGCCACTTAAAGGGGCTTCCCTGTGGCACAAGGGGTTAAAAAAACAGCACTATGAAGCTGTCCATAGCCAGTACAGCACAAGTTCATTCCCTGGCCAGGGAGCTGACCCACATGGCACCGCAGACCTCTCTTGTCTCGCCTGCTGCTCGCTTCAGCAGTGCATTTCAGTCACTCTGCCTGTTCTGCTCCCCATTCTGTCTCTGGTGAATCCTCTCTCCTCCTGCACCTCTGGCATGTGCCCCAGTTCTTGTATGCATAGATACATGAATCCTAAAAAAAGCAATATACTTAAATTGAAAGAAAATAAAATTTTTATTTCCTTTTTACATAGCAGTTACTAGAGGAAATGTGGGTGCCCTTGGGGAGTACCATTTACTTACACACAATCTGAAAATTTGATTAGACACAGTCATCTTCACTTCCTCTTCCACGCTAATTGGCATCTGATACTTGCTTTACCACATCAACTACCAAAAACTAAGCTTTACAAAAACAGATGTCATCAAGAGAAATATATTTTGGTCTAATTTTGAAAATGTGAAGTACCTACAGACATCTCATCTCTCTAGCGCATAGTAGCATGTTATATAGATTTTGTTCTGATATATGCAGGTATTGTTAGGTTTCATCAAAAATTTAAAATAACCTGCCATCCCTCTGTGCATTTACTCATAATTAAGTAATTATGATAAACCATACAGTGAAATAATACAAACTATTTTTAAAAAGTTGAAGCTTTTTGATAGCCAGTGTGGAATGACTGCAAAATACAGTTAAGAGCAAAATATAGATATTTGCATCTTATACTGCTATATTCTGTGTAAAAAGAGGAAGAAAATATATACATGTATGTACTCACTTGTATGTGCGTCAGTTATTTTTGGAATGATACATCAGAAGCTCATAAGATGGGGAGAAGAAATAAGTAAGGGAGACTTTACATTGAATTTTTTTTTTTTTAATTTGGTACTATGTAGTATAAACTACCTATTTTATTTATTTTTTATTTTTTTATTTTTTAAAGATTTATTTATTCGTACAGAACTGGGGTATAGGTCAGAGATGCAGAGGGTGAGAGGATTCACCAGAGACAGAGTGGGGTACAGAACAGGCAGATCGATGAAGTACACTGCTGAGGGGAGCAGCTGGTGGGTCAGGAGAGGTCTTCCGCCGCCATGTGGTCACCTCCGGGGCAGGCGGGAATCAAACTCATGCAGACGTGGTTTAAGCTTCTTTGTGCTGTGCTTCAACCCGCTGCGCCACCAGGGAGGGCTCTAAACTACCTACTTTAAAATATGTTAAATTGTAAATAAAACTTAATAAAAACAAAATTTAATATAGTTTCACCACTAACATAATTAACAAGCTTATTTCATCATTCATGGGAGTATTAATGCGGAATAATTTTTAGGGCTGAAATTATATTCTAGTATCCAGTGAAGAAAGATCAGATGTTTAACACTAAAGTTTTATTTTGCTTTGTTGTTTCAGGATTTAGAAAACTACATATTGGAACTTATCCCCACTTTGCCACAATTAGATGGGCTGGAAAAATCTTTTTACTCCTTTTATGTTTGTACAGCAGTTAGGAAGTTTTTCTTCTTTTTAGATCCTCTAAGAACAGGTAAAAGAAAATGTTATCTTAGATACTATAAGCTTACTATTACTTGTCTCAATAGCTAAAAAAAATCTTAGCTAAAGAAAAATCTTGTAAATATCATTTTCCTAACATATAATTGCCACTTAATACATAAAGCTCTTTTAAGATTTATACTCACTGTATAGAGCTGTGTGACAAGTCATGTTACCTAACCATTTACATTTTCTTATCTCTAAAGAGAGACACAAATTCAGGAATCTGTGGCTTCTTCCAGTTCTAAGAAACCAGTTATTCTAATATAACTTATTATCTCTGCTATGGAGCTGTACAGGAGAATTGTTCCTTTTTGATGATGAACATGAAAGATAGGAGAAACTTTGAGCCATAATGTACTTTTCTCTTTCTCAAAGTAACTATCCTAAAAGCCAGATCATAAATTTGGCCTAACAGGATGCTAATCTAACCTGCTAGCTTTAAATACTTGACTGAAGCAGAGGGATAGAATTCAAGTCCTTCATTCCCCTCCTTTCCTGGAAAATTCAGCTGTGAAACCATCACAGCACATAGTAGCTGAGTCTTTTCAATGCCTCCATTCTAGCCATATGTACATCTTTTGCCTTTGGAATTTACAAACTAATAATAGCTAACAGTTTTGATTTATTATGTAGTAAGCAGAGAACAAAACATTTTACAGATTTTTGCATTTCCTTCTCATAACTCCATAAGGAAGGGATTTTAAAGGTGCAAGATAACTTGAGACATAGATTACTGATCCAGAAGGCATTCAAACTTCTATGTATCTGCTCTTAACAATGCCTCTATATTGCCTATTCCAGAACCTTCCAAAGAAAAATGAACAGTCTTCTTAATTAGATTGCCAGCAATATCCAATCCATATCCACAAAACATAGCTTTTTTTTTTTTTTAAATTTGCTATTGGTATAATTTTGGAAATAATTCACCACTTGGATTTGTATAGTTGGAAATAATACAAGTCTACATACAAATTAGAGATTTTCTTAAAGTTCTTTGGCATAGTCCCTCTTCATAGCAATGTGTAATAAGGACTTTGGAACATAAAAGCTAAAAAGCTTTAAAATTGTCAATTGATCAGTTGTGATTGTTTTTCTAAAATAGTTGACTTTATAAAATTGCTTTTATTTTTAAAATGAAAATAATTACTGTGTTTCTTTCTTTAAAGGAAAAATAAAAATTCAAGATATTTTAGCATGCAGCTTTCTAGATGATCTACTAGAGGTAAATGTTTTTAAACAATTGAATTGTATCACTTGACACTTGCTGTTTTCTAATTATGTCTATTCATTTAGTTAAGGGATGAAGAACTATCAAAGGAAAGTCAAGAAACAAATTGGTTTTCTGCACCTTCTGCCCTGAGGGTTTATGGTATGTTCCTGTCATAATGCTAAAATTTGAATTTGATGTTTCTCAAGTTAATTGGTATTCAAAAGAATTTATATATATATATATATATATATAAACTCTTTTATATATATACATATACATATATATATATATATATATATATATGGGATAATTTGTCTTAACATCAGAGTATTCCACTTAACTTAAGAGCTGGTGTTCTGTATTACTAAAGTTTACTTCTTTAAATATCAATGTTTTAAATTTTTGTAACTCTTTCTATTTCCTTAGTCTTTAATAGAACATATGGGACATAATTTGGTCCTTTTTTCTTGACTCAAGAGTATCATTATGAACAAAAACTGTGGTTTTGCATTGTGATAAAATGCTTCTCTCCAGGTCTACAGGTGGGAGATGGTCTACGAGCTGGTTTTGTTTTTCTTAACTTTCACTAGTGTGTTATATTATTCTGTTGGGTGAACTTGTTTGGCATTCTTGAATTCTGCTTTCAAGTACCAGCTTTTTAGTGCTTTTTGTTGATCTCTACCTCCATCTAATTTAGGTATCTAAGAAAGTTCTAAAAGGATTGCAAACTGACAGCAAATAATGTAAAAGAACCCAAGTTATTTTACCCCTCTGGTTCTGATTTTATGGTTATTCATTAGAACCATAAAAAAGTTAAAAATTGTGGCCCTCCCTGGTGGCGCAGAGGGTTAAAGCACAGCCCTGAGAATATTATGCCGCTTCCGCATGAGTTCGATTCCCGCCTGTCCCGGAGGTGACCATATGGCGTGGCAGACCTCTCCTGACCCGCCTGCTGCTCCCCTCAGCAGTGTACTTCGTTGATCTGCCTGTTCTGCTCCCCAGTCTGTCTATGGTGAAGCCTCTCACCGTCCCTGAGCCTCTGGCCTATACCCCAGTTCTGTATGCACAAATAAATCTTTAAAAAAAAAAAAAGTTAAAAATTGTTAGGATAGTTGGTGCTAGAGTACTAACCCTAATTGTAATGTAATTAGTTAGAAATCAGAATAGTCACCCATAAAATAACTTTGTTACTGTGTACTCTTTTCTCTTTTAATCAGAATTTTGTTTTGATCATAAGTATCTTTTTATCATTTCTTCACAAGGCCAGTATTTGAATCTTGATAAGGATCACAATGGCATGCTCAGTAAAGAAGAACTTTCCCGCTATGGAACAGCAACCATGACCAATGTCTTCCTTGACCGAGTTTTCCAGGAGTGTCTCACTTATGATGGAGAAATGGTAGTTAAAATCTCTAATGAGTTTTCAAAATTTAAGCTCTCAAAACCTCTACAATCCCCTTTCTTGACTTGATAGAGCTTTATCTTATTTTTTATTGGAGTCCATTACTTTACAGCACTGTATATGATTCAGAGGTATAGGGTCACATTTCTTCAGATGTATGTTACCCCTTCACACCCAGCACCAAAGCACTCAGTCCTTCACCATTGTTAACTGGACCTCCTCCCCTTTTGCTCTCTCCCCTCCCCACTTCCCTCTTGTTGCTCAGTACTGCAGTCAGGTTTTAGGATTTATTGATTTATTTACTGATTCTTTGTGTGTCTTCCACATATGAATGAAGTCATCCATTTGTCTTTTTCCTTCAGGTTTATTCCACGTAGCATAATTCCCTCCATTTCCATCCATGTCATTCTAAATGGCAAGGAAAAAAAACACATGTGGTTATGTGGATGTGTGTGTTTGTGATGTGTTTGTATGTGTGTGTTTGTGAGAGAAATACATATGTCACATCTTAATCCACTAATCTGTCATTGGGCTCTTAGGTTGTTTCCATAACTTGGTTGTATATAGCTGTGCAGTGAACATAGGAGTACACATACCCCTACAAATTAAATTTTGTTGCGTACTTAAGTAGCTACCTCACAAGTAGAATTGTTAGATTGTATGGTAAATATTTATTGTTGGGATAAGCCTTCATACTATTTTCCATAGAGGCTGGACCAGTTTATATCCCCACCAACAGTATATGAGGGCTCCTTTTTTTCCATACCCTCACCAGAATTTGTTGTTAGGCCATCCTCACCAGAGTGAGGTGGTATGTCATGTTTTGATTTACATTTCTCTGGTAAGATTAAACATTTTTCACATGCCTGCTGGCCATCTGTCTCTCTTCTTTGGAAAAGTTATAACTGTTCTGCCCATTTTTTTTTTTTTATTGTTTTCCTTTTGTTGGGTTCTTTGAATTTTTTGTAGATCTTTGATATTAGCCTCGTCAGATGTTTGGTTTGCAATATTTTCTACCATTTTGAAGAGAGAGCTTTCTGTTTCCTTCATGTCTTTTTAGCTTTCATTTGTTCTGCTTTTTTAAAAATCAGAACAATATCAGTTCACTGTAGAATAACTGGTATTTTTAAATGACTTCTTATTGGAAACTATCTGATTTTTAAATTTTACAGTATTTCACAACAGCTTTTTCATTATACTGTCCTATTCATTCCGGTAAGTTTGTTTTTTTCTAAAACCATGACATTGATCACACTGAAATGGAAGAATTTAGTCACAGTGTACAGTTGCTTATTCACTGTCCATTTCAAAAGCATGAGAAAATTATTGTTCACCACAGCAAATCTCTTAAGAAACTTAGCTGTGTCCCTAAGTTGTACAGAGTAACTGCTTGTAGAATTCCTAGAAACCAACTTTATACAAAAATGTATTTTTTTTATTTAAAAAATTGCACTTTTGATTGTAAAATAGCTTTAAATCATGTAATTCATTTGAATTCAGCTCAGACTTCTAATGAATATCGTTTCATTTTCTATAGGATTATAAGACTTACCTGGACTTTGTTCTTGCACTAGAAAACCGAAAAGAACCTGCAGCTCTGCAATATATTTTCAAATTGCTTGATATTGAGAACAAAGGATATCTGAATGTCTTTTCCCTTAATTATTTTTTTAGGGTAAGTCTGACTTGTATAATGAGGAGAGGTTCAAATTATTCAGAGCAGAATAACTGCTAGGTCATCCCCCTGCACCCCCCCCCCCCCCCCGCCATACCTCTTGTATGTATAAAATAAAAACATCTTTTTTAAAAAGATTTAGTTATTTATGCGTACAGTTCTGGGGTAAAGGCCAGAGGTGCTGGGGCAGTAAGAGGATTCACCAGAGACAGAATAGGGAGCAGGACAGGCAGATTGACAAAGTATACTGCTGAGGGGAGCAGCAGGCAGGTCAGAAGGCTGCTGCCATATGGGTCAGCCCCCTGGTTGGGGATTGAACCCATGCTGAGGCTCCTGCCTGTGGCTAGACTAGCTTTGTAGTGCTGTGCTTTAACCTGTTGTGTCACCAGAGAGGGTCCAAAAAAAAAAACACATCTTAAAAAAAAAAGTGGTTGAAAGAATGACACTTGTGTTCTGATAGGAAAGGAAGTAGAACTGAAATAGGTTCCTGTTCTAGACCACTAATAGGAGAGCTATTGTGTATTTTATTTTTTACTTACAGATTTATTTTTACTAAATACAGGCTATACAAGAACTAATGAAAATCCATGGACAAGATCCTGTTTCATTTCAAGATGTCAAGGTTACCTTTTCCTTTAATTAATACCACAAAATCTTTTGTATGAATTGAAATATTATGTGAAAACAGCCTATGAACTATGAAGTACTGAGCCAAATCAAGAATTTGTTATTTGTATTTGTTTTTAACTGTTTTGAATTGATACTTAATTAGAAACAGATAAACAGATTTTTTGTGTGTAGTTTATGATTTAATATTGTCAACACTCCCTCATTTTGAATAAAAATTAAAGAGAATCAGTATTAGCTTCATCCTTTAGAATCTATTCCACTAAAATGTGAATTTTTAATTTGGGAACTATTGTGTTCCAACACATTTTTAGTTTATTAAAATTCTACAATATGAGAATTATCACTATTTGAAACACATGCTATCACTTAGCCTTAATCAGAGTAGAATCACTGCTAGGTCATGTTAGGTCCATCTGAGGTTGGTGACCACTCCCTAAGTAATAGCAATAATCTGCAGTCTTGTATAATTTTTTTCTGAAGTTCTCAAAGCTATGCTATAGGTCTAGGAAGGCTGATGGTTATACTGATGCAGAATTTAGATTTTGTTGACTGGGTATGGAGCAAGTTCAAGGACATTAAGACTATTAAAAAAAATACATATATTGCTAAGAGTGGTTGCAATGATAAGTCTTGTAGTCTGACAGAAAAGTAGAACTAGACTTGGTTTCTGTTCTAGAGAGTTGATCACACTTTTCATCAGTTATGGAAAATATCCATGTATCTAGTACTGATTCAGGTTGAAGCTGACTAATGTAATCAAATAGCCAATCCCATTTTAACCAAGATAAAGGACTATTTTGGTTAATATAAATGAGACAATATGAAACTATACAACAGACTGAGATCTAGTAATTTTAAGATACTACCAAATAAGAAAAGGAAGTTTCACAAACACACAAGATTAAAATAGTTCATACATTTCATTTACCTGGACTGTCCTAATCTTTATAATAATTTTCCTCCTTAAATTCAAAATACTTGAGTAATTGTACTACAGAAATATTAAGAAGCAGGTATTACATTTTATATTATTCATCTAGTGCACTTTATGATATGGAACAAGTCCATCTACCTACTCCAGTAACTTTTAGCACAATTTAGTGACATTTGGAATGTAATTCTTTAATACAGACATCTCCTTATCCACTCACCAACTCATCCTAAGTCTAGAATAAAAGGCTGACATCAATCCTGGAAATGAAGCTTTGTTACTATCCAGCTCTGAAGCATTTATGTTTTTACCATTAACTGAACTTGCACAGAAGACCTTGCTTCACCATCAACTAGAAGACAGCAGAAAAATAAAAGGAATTAGTTGAAATATATTCAAAGAACACTGATGAAGACAATTCAGGCAAATAAAATGTATGAACCTTTAATCTTGTGTGTTTATGAGACTTCTTTTTCTAGGCTGGTAGTAGTTTAGAATCACTAGATCTAAAGTTGCCTGTTGCATAATTTCATTGATATTAAAGCAAAATAGCCCTTTAGCTTATATTTGGTTAAAAACAAATTAGTTATTTGATAGTGTTTTACCACTACTTTGCTCTCTAGCTTGGCTTACACTCTCAGTTTATTCCTCTGTGAGTAACATTTACCACAAGCCTGAGGAATCTTCTAATAAAATGCTGTGTTTTACACAAAGATGAATCGGTTAAATGAAAAAATGAGAACAAATTTTAAATAAGATCAAGTGCAAGCCCTGATTTTTAGATCATTGTGTGACAGAAATTAAGTATCGGATACTACATTTATAGTATGTTTTTTCTCTTGCAGGATGAAATATTTGATATGGTAAAACCAAAGGACCCTTTAAAAATCTCTCTTCAGGATTTAATTAATAGTAATCAAGGAGATACAGTCACCACCATTCTCATTGATCTCAATGGCTTCTGGACTTATGAGAATAGAGAAGCCCTCGTTGCAAATGACACTGAAAATTCAGTAGAACTTGATGATACATGATCTTTAGAAGACTAGACTATTGATAAAGATAAGCTTGAATGTTGCATTAAGAACCTTTGCAGCAGGATTCTTAGAAATGGTCTAAATAAAATACTTCTCTCTCTAGAATACAGCAGATTTCTGGTTGTTGGAATGTTCTGGTAGTTTTTAATCATCTGGAAATAACAAGACCAAATTCTGGAACTCTGATTTTAGTTCCACTTACCTCAAATGTGGCAGGTATGATTTTGTTGAGGAATCAAAGAGGAATATACTTTCAGTGTTTAAATACATAGGAAGTTTTCAGGGAGTATTTTTTATCTTAATCATTAAGAATGCCATTATTTAAAGGCTAGTATAAGTTATACTGTGGTCATGCATTTGATTTTTTAAAGCATTACATATGGCAAAGATTATAGACTTCCCCATTTGTTAGAGTATAGTCATTTCATTTCAGGGGCCTCCCCGGTGGCGCAGCAAGTTATTAAAGCACAGCATTATGAAGCCAGCCCCAGCCTCTTCAGCACCAGTTCGATCCCCAGCCAGGGAAATGACCCACATCGCATGCAGACTCCTGTCTTCTGCTGCTCCCCTCAGCAGTATACTTCGTCAACCTGTCTGTTCTGCACCCTATGCTGTCTCTGAGGAATCATCTCACCACCCCTGCACCTCTGGCCTATACCCCAGTTCTGTATGCAAAATAAATCAGTCTTAAAAAAGGGGGCCCTCGGCCCTCCCTGGTGGCGCAGCGGCTTAAAGCACTGCACTGAGAAGCTAAAGCCACTTCTGTATGAGTTCGATTCCCGCCTGCCCCAGAGGTGACCACATGGTGTGGCAGACCTCTCCTGACCCGCCCGCTGCTCCCCTAAGCAGTGTACTTCATCAATCTGCCTGTTCTGCTCCCCACTCTGTCTCTGGTGAAGCCTCTCACTGCCCCTGAGCCTCTGGCCTGTACCCCAGTTCTGTATGTACAAATAAATAAATCTTAAAAAAAAAAAAAAAAAAAAAAGGGGCCCTCCCTGGTGGCAAAACGGGTTAGGACACAACACTGCAAGCTTCAGTGTGAGTTCAATCCCTGGCCCCAGAGGTGATCCACGTGGCACAACAGACCTCTCCTGTCTTGCCTGCTGCTCCCCTCAGCAGTGTACTTAGTCAGTCTGCCTTTTCTGCTTCCCACTTGTCTCTAGTGAATCCTCTCACTGCCTTTACCCCAGTTCTGTATGCATAAATAAATAAGTCTTAAAAAAAATGTTTGGGGCCCTCCCTGGTGGCGCAGTGGGTTAAAGCACAGCACTGAGAATCTGAAGCCACTTCCGCATGAGTTCGATTCCCGCCTGCCGCCTGCCCCGGAGGAGACCACATGGCGAGCCAGACCTCTCCTGACCCGCCCGCTGCTCCCCTCAGCAGTGTACTTCGTCAATCTGCCTGTTCTGCTCCCCACTCTGTCTCTGGTGAAGCCTCTCACTGCCCCTGAGCCTCTGGCCTGTACCCCAGTTCTGTATGAATAAATAAATAAATCTTTAAAAAAAAAATGTTTGGACATCAATATTTTAACAGAAAGACAAGTTAATATTTTACTTTAATTAAAATCATGGTATTAAAAGTTTGTCTAACTATTAACTAGTGCCAAGTCTGCATTCTGTAAACCATCATTTTGTTAAGAATATTTGCTAGAGAATTTGTCAATTCCATGTAAAGGTTCTCATTTATACTATTAGAATTAGTTTTATGAAAGATTAAAAGAGGACAGAACATTTAGTATAGCCAGAAGAATAATTATTAAAAGGGGTTGAAAAGTAAGAAAATTTAAGAGGCTTGGAAATAAGACAAAATTAATGTGGGAAATTTTAGAGCTTGTATAAAGTATAAAAATTTAAATCACAGTGAATATTGATATATTAACATTAAACTGACCACTGTTGGGCAAGAAAGTAAAATTCAAGAAGCAATAATTTCCTGTTACTGCCTTTTACTACAACTAGAGAAGTTTTGAGATAAACCCTTAGATCTAGTGCCTCCAGGGAGAGACGATTAAGATCACCTTTAGATATGCAAGCCTTCACTGGATAATCAAGTAAGTGGGAGGTATTATCTTGAAATTAAAAACAGGAAAGATGTCAGATTAGTATGTTGTAGAATTACTGGTGAGCTAATTTTATAACAATATTGATTACATAATCTAGAATAATCCTTTAAGCACTAAATGATAATTGATTATAATTAAAATAAACCACTGTATTATGAATCGATGTAATTAAAGATTCCTAATTAGTCTTACCTACCTAAAGCATTCCAATTTCAGTTGAACTTAGTGGCTAGGTATTTATATTCTATTGATAATAACGTTTCCATAACAGGCCATCTTTTATCTATGTTGTTTCTTTGAAGCCATATTTTACACATTTTTTAAGACTGAAAACTTAGTGCTGTTTAGGAGGCTACTTAAAATTAACCTATAAAAACTCCTTAAGTTTGTGCAGAGGCTTTAATAGCAACATTTTTGAAATACTTCACAATCTTCCTTACCCACATTTAATTATAAATCAATGTGTCACCTTGTAAGATTCTTAAAATATATTTAGAGCTATTTTAAAGTTAACTTCATAGTATATATTTCTGTAAGGATTTGCAAATAGCATTATCAGTAGAGGGATGGCGAACCTAGGTCAAATAAACTGTTTACTATTACTTCAAAGTGGTAAAGGAGAGGTGGCTTCCTTATGCTACCATTATACAATATTTAAGCCCCTAAAGGTCTTGATGTGTTTCCTCGTCCAAACCCCCTCTTTGCAACTAATGGACCATAGGCGCGACAAGGTGCAGAATGAGTGACAAAGTCATGTGAATAATTAGCAGGTGTTACCACTTCAACAAATATATTACTAAAACCATTCCATAGCTAGTGTTTTTAACATCATGTTCACAGCCAGTTGTTTAACTTAAATAACAGAAAAGGAATGTATGGTTAAAATGCATGAATTAAAACCGCTCTTAATATTTGGTGTTATAAACTCAATCACCTATTCTCAAGGAAACAAAATTCAAAGTGCTTTTATTTTGTTTTTATTGCACATACAGTAAGCCATCCTTAGTGTGAAATTAATGGTTAGATATACAAATGTGTAAGAGGTAACCTGGGAAGGGTGGATTCTCATTTTAATCTGTGACAAATATAAACTCCAATTAACCTTAATCAGCAACTTTTTTTTCTTTTATACAAGTAACAGACAAGCTTATTAATCTAACTCTTCTTAATTGGTGGTTAGGACTCTAGGAAGTCCTTAAGTTTTTTTAAAGATCATTTTAAAAACAGCATTAATTTGACATACAGTAAAAGCACAATACAAATACCCAAATTTCGATGCTATATATATGAGTTTACAAATAAACATTTTTCCTTTCCAGGTAATAATTTAAAATATAAATAACTGTATTAAATCCCACTGAATAGAGAATGTGAAAGTTCCTGGTATAAAAACAAAGTTTGAAGTTAGGTAGTTTTCATTCTATGGTGGGACAGAGACTGGATTTTGTTTGCTCTCCATAATTACTTCACAGTCCCCCTCCATTTCAAAATTGAGATTCACAAATGAACTGGATACCACAGTTTCTGGCTGATCTGTCTGAACAATGGAATCAGCTTGCAGCTTATTCTGCTGGTACTGTCTTTCTGCTTCTTCAGACATCCTGTTTTCTTCTTCTTCTTCTTCTTCCTTAAAATAGGAAATAGCAAAGATCGGTGAAATGTAAATGTCCAAAAGGAGTAATACCTGTTCCCCCACTTTTAGCTGTGCCTTTTTATAAACCAAAACAGTATCATGTCCAATTTAGTTTGGTCTAATTAAGCCAAGACATACTTCCCTTTCTCCTGTTTTCAAATTGGAATAAAAATTATTATACATGTTAAGAAAAAGCAAATTTATTTTTAAAACATGATACAGCCTTGAGAAGCAAAGGATACTGAATTAACTCTGACGAGGGCTATTTTTTTTTTTCAATTTAAATCTGACTAACTAAAAACTAGCAAATTGCATTATATCATTTCAAGGTGGCCTATTCACTAAAATGGCAAGTATAATTAATGTTCATAATCACCTACTATACAAATAAGGCAATCTCTGCCCTCAAGAAGTTTGTAACCTACGAAGGAAATTAAGACATGTAAAAACAGCTTTAATACAGAAAGGAATAATCACCACAGAGATTAAAAGAGAATAACTAATTTCTAGAACAACTAAATTCAGAGATGAGGTGGTATTTGTGTTGGTCCTGCTATATGTATAACCTGTCAGGAAGATTAATCTAGTGTTTGACAGAACAAGAGAGAAAGACCATTTAGGAGACTTAGAAATAGCTAAGATGAGGCAAGAGGCTGTTCTAAATAAGGCTGGCAGTTTTAAAAAAACATATACTCATTTGTTCAAAAAACAAGTTTTAAGCCACAAAAAGTGTTGACAGGCCCTCCCTGGTGGTGCAGCGGGTTAAAACACAGCACTAAGAAGCTAAAGCCACTTCCACATGAGTTCGATCTCCACCTGCCCCGGAGGTGACCACATGGCGTGGCAGACCTCTCCTGACCCGCCCGCTGCTCCCCTCAGCAGTGTACTACGTTGATCTGCCTGTTCTGCTCCCCACTCTGTCTATGGTGAAGCCTCTCACCGCCCCTGAGCCTCTGGCCTGTATCCCAGCTCTGTATGCACAAATAAATAAATCTTTTAAAAAAAAAACAGTGTTGACAGTTCCAGAGTCATCTATGGCCATTTCCCCCATTGTACTCTGCACTCCGTTGACAATAAAGTATTAGTCTTGGTATTTCTCCAAAAATGCAATGTATCATTATGTCATTTTGGTATCGCCAGATTTGCCCATTTAATTTTCCTGAAGAATAATGAAAGATCCTAATATTTAGTTTCATAGAATTACAAAGAATTATTGTAAGAATTTTACCTATTAACTCATTTAATACTTAGAACAAACTTTAACATTAATGCTTCAATTTTTTACATAAAAATAGGAAATGTAGTTGTATAAAGGTTAAGTATATTGCTCATGGTGATAAACGTTAAAGCTGCAGGACTAGCATATGGATTCAGACACTTGGGTGTTAAGAACTAAAGCATTCTCATTCTTTAAGCC